TCGAACTACTTGTCTTCTAATATTTTACAATTAAGGATTAATTCATCAATATAAAAAAGTAATCAATATACATATATCCTAATATAAATCTAGAAAAATTCTATTATAGCAACATAAATAATATTATTTATAATTTAATATATTAACACATTTTAATATATATAAAATAAAATAAAATTAATCTTTCATTACGTGATACGCATAAACACATATAAATACAAACTCGATTGATAAAAAAGAAAAGTAATGAACAATCTATTCTTTTGCGACTTATCATTCTTAATCCATAAAACACAGGTGTTTTCAAATTATAAGGGTGACTCATACGAACTGAAGTAGAACTATAGGAAGAAGAGAAAGAGGGAAGAAAAAGATGAAGGAGAGAGAGAGAGAGAGAGTGAGGGAAGAAACTCGAGTTGCACCCTTGATGGTGACACACATCCACCCTCTACTAGGCACGCAACATCATGCTAATTAATAACAGCATGCCGTGTAACTGCCCAACCATCACCACACAACCACCACAACCATCCTGATTCATCCCCCAATTCTCTTTTACGATAAAAGTCACAAAAGACATCGGTTGGATATATTGGTAAGGAAATGAAGAGGGGTTGCTGCAAGGCCACACCCTTTCTTTATTTCTTTACACACGTTAAAGAAGGGTGTGAAAACAATGTCACATTGACGTTGAGGTGCGAAAGAGGAATATTCTCTGTTTCTTTCTCTTTCTTTTCTATTTCTTTCTAACACTTGAGAAAAATACTCAAGTACTCCTTCTTCTCCTCGAAACCCTTCTTCTTTCTTTCTCTTTCTCTCACATTCTTTCTTTGGAAAGCACTCATCTTTTAAAAGTATCTAGAAGGGTGTCGGGTGTATCGTCCCAATCGCGTATTTTTCACCAAGGACTCCGAAACACTTCTAACACTCCTTTTACTGCGCGATTATTCTGGGATCCTTGCCAGTTTTAGTGTGAGAAGCTTCGAGGATTTACTTCTTTCTTTCTTTTTTCTTTTAAAGATTGGATAGAAGGGACCAAAGGAGATAAAGCTTACGGAAATTCTCTAAATCCGGATCAAACTGTTACGTCAAACTGCGAACGGATTTCGAAACATGTTCGGTACACGTGAACAATATTTTATCGATTAAAAAAAAAAAAGAAAAAAGAAACGAACAAATTGAAAACTGAATTTTTTCCTTTAAGCGAATAAACGTTTGGAGGATAATCATCGGAGGATGAAGATTATTAAACGATTGGTATTCAAAATATTATATTTTAGTTTCAACGAATATGATTTTTAGAAATTAATTATCATCATGTTTATAATAAAAAATATTATAGTATTATTTATACCAGTGTGATTACATATAAATGCAATAACAAATAAATTTAATGAGGATAAAAATAAAATAAGAAGAATAAACGCGTATAAATATAAACGTGGTGACATGACTAAGTTACGTAACGTTATGATAGAGTTAAAAAAAAAAAAAAAAAAAAAAAAAAAAAAAAAAAAAAAAAAAAAAAAACAAGAAATAACAGATGAAGAAAATAAAAAGACGATGAGGAAATGGTATAACGAAGATTTAAGATTTAACGATGGGTTTTAGGTATTTTATCTCGACCTACGATACACTACCACCTACGCCCTCCCTCCCTTTCCCTTTTAGTTCCACTACCGATCTTATTTACGATCGTATAAAATTCTTTCGAAGATCTGAGAGCAAAAGTTGTGAGTAATAGTAGTAGTAATAGCAGTAATAGTGTTGTTGTTAGTGGTAGTAACTTAAGAGAAAGATAGAGTTATGGTAACGAGACACGTACAATATATATATATGTGTGTGTGTGTGTGTGAGAGAAAGGAAAAAGTATAGCCGATTAAATGAATTTATCGTTTTATGAATAATATACGACGTATCTTGAATAATAAATAATGTATTTTTATTTTTAGAACCACCGAGCTTGTTTTTATCTCCAACCAAAGATAATGGAATGTAACGAAGCACTGATGCAAATTAACAAAAGCACAACTGTCCTTTTTTTTTATATATTTAAAAAATAATAATATTTTTTAAATACCTTCGTGTGTTTTTTTCTGATTAAAAATATATTTGTTTAATTTTATTCAGCTGTTATATGTAATTTTCTATAACAGAAAATGATGCAATGTTATATACTATAAAATAATTCAATATTCCATTAAATAATACATTTGTAATAAATGAAAAATAATAAAAACTTAAAATAAATACTTCGAGCAGATGTACGTGTCAGATTAAAGGGTAGATTTATTTTTTTTCTTTTTAAGTTGGCCATGACTTTATAAGCCATAGGATGCAAGGGGGTGAGAGGTGAAGTGAGGGGGTTGGACTGGGTCGGGAGTACTCTGTAAAATACTTTTTCTTTTTTATTTTCGAAGGGAGAGTGCAACGACGAGAGTGTACTCAGGAATTCTCTATTACATTGGCATTGATCGTGAATGTGCCATATGTGTGCTATGAATGACGAGGGTTAACGAATGAACACTTCTTGGCTAAGCAACGGAGACCAATCTTTGATGGAACGAGTGTTAGAAACTAAATACGATAAGTGTGTATAATAATAATAATAATAATAATAAATCGAACAAATTTAGAATATTATTATACTTGTTAATAATTATATTATCAGTTAAATGAATTGTCTAATTTAAAATTTGAATAAGTTTATAAAAGCAAGCAAAAATACAAATATCTAATATATAACGAATAGAATTTTGCATTAATTATTTAAACGAATGACCACATTATAGAATTATGTTAGAAATGGAATTAATAGAAAATGAAAAATGATATAGATTTATCTTCGATACAAATAATATCTAATTATGTTATATACCTTTTTACCTTACATTAGTTATTTTAATCGTAAGTGTTAGGATCGATTAAAAGAAAAGAAAAGAGAAGAAAAAAAAAACAATGGAAAATGTTGTGACGAACGTTTAAAACAAACTTTCTACTTTTCTATTTTCGTAACGCACGAACGTGACAAAACGGAAGACTAGTAGTAGTTGCTTTTTCTCGCGGTGACGAACAATGTTTCACGTCAGGTAAGTATATATCCGGGAAGTTTGGGCCATTGAACCATGTTACTGGTTAACACAATGAGCGATAGAAGCTTGCAAGTAACAAGACCGGTTTGTTTGCCTCGATTATCGATTTTCTTTCTTACAAAGTCTTAATAACACTGTTGCTGCTCCTTTTTCTTTAACAATGACTTCGTAGAAAACGAACTATTATTAGATAATAATTAAGAAAAAAAAAAGAACTAAAAGAAAAACATAGTTGCACAATTTCTATCTTTTCGAGAGATGTTAATCAAACATAATTTTAATTATTAATAAAATTTATCTGAATTATCCGATTAATAATAATGATAATTTATATTATACATATTTACATACAAAATATTTATACAAACACGTGTGTAAAAAAGAATAAAATGTATTATTTTAAAGATTTGCTATGCAAACTATTTGAAGGGAGTGAAAGTCTAACTGTTTGAATGTGAGCATCGTGATGGTAACGATGGCGCGAAGGTTGTTGTGCGATTATTTCAAAGCCTTTACGAATTGCGAAACATTCATGGTAAAGTATAATCGTTCCTTCAATATCGGAACTGTTCAATTGAAGAAGATGAACATAAGCTGATTCATCAGTTTTATTATAAAACGTTTGACTCCTCTTTTTCATTTTTAATTAAATCAACAAATTAATTTATCATTAATTTCATTATTATAAAATCTAATATAATGTACACTCAATATTACAAAATCAAATAAAAAATCAATAAAAATGATTATAATTTTCTACAATAGAATATTCTTTTTTTTCATTTCTATATAATAATTTGAAGATAAGGAAAGAGTCTTAGAAGAAATCTTATCATTTTCAATGATAGTAATAGTAGAAAAATTGAAGAAAGAAATGGCAACGTAGGAGGTGCCATCAAGAAGAAGAAGAATAAGAAATAGTAAGTAGAAGGAGAAGAAGAACAAGAAGAAGAATAAGAATAAGAAAAGGGATAATTCAACGCGACTTGCAGCCGGTTTTCCATAGCAGCCTATCACGAAACTCTTACTAGGTACGATGAACCAGAAGGATGACTCATGATTCTCCCCTTCCAATCATGATTGCAATGAAGAAGAAGAAGAAGAAGAAGAAGAAGAGGAAAAGAAGAAGAAGAAAGAGGAAGGACGATGGTAAAGAAGAAGAAGAAGCAAGGACATTAGTCCTGGTGATCTTGAGGTAAAGCACCTACGCAATGTCCTTTTTGAATCCAGAAGGTAGAAAAGAGGGAGAGAGAGAGAGAGAGAGAAAGCAGGAGAGATAATAAAAAAAAATATAAATAATAAGAAGAGGTGAGAGCAGCCTAGTATTACTTATTATACGTCTGCTGGCTAGTGCGATTTATTGCAAGAGTGTTTCTTTTAGCATTGTCGTTCTAGAAAGTCAAGAGATTCATTATAGCTTAGAGCAAATCTTACAACTTCTTCATTTTGATTTAACTTGTAACATTGTTATCTTTCTATTTCTCTATTATATATATATATAATAATAATAATATAATATTGTACAATATAATATATTGTATATTAACAATATTTTATAATAATACATATTACTATATTATATTATAATAGAATATAATAATAAATATATATATATATATATAAAGAAAAAAAACAATATATATATATAATTGTATGTTGTATGTTGTATGTATATTGTTTTTTTTTCTTTTCTATACTTATATAATTAAATAGAAAATTTTGAAGAGTTCTAATTAAGACAACTTAATTGTACGCGTGTTTAGACAAAGTGTATATAAAAGAAAGAGAAAGAAATACAACGGCAAATGGAGTAATATTTAACTTCCGTCGTTTACAGAATCAATGATTTTGTTCTCCTGTTAGGGGACTAATAGGAAGCTAGTTTTTCATTCTTGTTAGTGCACTTACCTCTGGCAGCGGCTCCTCTTTCGTGACGTCTCCATTCTTAGGTGCTTCTTCACGAGCCGGCTTGCTCTTGTCCTTCTTACTAAAGCTGATCGACCTCAAAGACCACTTTTTCCTCATCTAGGAACACAACGAGAAAGCTTCATTGTATAATACAATATACGACACATAATCTAATCATTTATATCTTTTATCATTTCTTTTTGATAAGTACAAAAAAATAAAGAAAATGGTAGATATTATCCTTGATGCTATTTCTAATGAAATTATTTTAATACGCGCACATACACAAGTATTCAAAAGTTAATTATTACAAATTTATAAATACTATTGAAAATAATTGATCTTATAATAAAATTGTTGTACTCGTTTACATCGGAATTTTTTACTCAAATATAAAGTACTGTAAATTCTCCCCTTCCCCCTAAAAAAGATGTATTAATCGATTCAGCTTGATATTTAATTGTTTAACTTATATTCATTTAAATTTGCTAAGTGTGTCAGAGTTTTATAATAATTTATATAAATTTAATATTTAATCTATTTTATAAAATCAAGTCAATTATTTATCTAACCCAACAGGCTGTAAATTAATAAATCAATCTCTTTATTCATATACATTTTTTAAATGAATATATTTTAGCGTGTAATTTGAAAAATGTAAAAAAAAAAAAAATGAAAAACGACGTAGATGGGATGATAACACACCTTGTCTTTTTTTTTAGGCTCTTTGCTTTCTGGTGATGCTACAGTGTTGGGACTTGCAGCATTACCTTCTGTAGGCGTTGTCACTTCCGCATCTTCTGCTGGAGATTCACCGGACAATTCTTGCTTCGTGTCCTCTGATTTTGCTTCTTCGGATGGCTGCTGAAAAATATTATTAAAACGATAAAGTAATCTTTTCTAAGATGCATCGCAATAAGATACACCACAACGCAACAACAATACTAATCTCTTCTTTGACTATAAATAAAAACGGAGTACAAAAGCTGTGATTAACATGATTTTGCATCATGCTTTCAAGGATCATTTTTACATTGTAAATAATAAGATCTATGCGGAATGATTAATTAATTTTGTCCTTTGTGTTTATCTCGAGTATACACATTGTCCATGTCAAAATCGTTACATTTTTAATATATTGTTAGCTCAAAATAAGTGTTTAATATAAAATTGAAGAAAATAATATGGGAAAAAGAAAAGAAAAAGCCGAAAAATTAAATAAAATATGGAGAATATATTCTCGTTGGAATAAAGCAGCTGTTATGCTGCTGTGGCTTGAACGAACACGTCGTGCAGGATGAAACCGCGAAAATCTCAGATTACGGAGAATGGATGATAGTGACTCTCAACTTGATTGTTCAATAAATAAATCAAGATTTGGATATAAATATTTTTTGTATGTTTCTATTATTTTATAAAATAATATATAATCCACATTCTGTTTATATTGTTTGATAAAATAATAAAATAAAAAAATATTATCAGTGTTGAATTACTAAGAAGAAAAGGAAACTTTTAAAAGTCGATTTAATATTTATAAAAAGAAACAAAAAAAAAACAAACAAACTAAAACAAATAATATAAATATATATATACAAGGGGAAGACTTAGGGTTATAAAAATTGTATAAAGGATTCCCAGGAGTAGTAGTACCTTTTCTTTTCGTATGATTTTGAGGTATATAATGGAAAGAAAGTATCGTAGAATAAAGAAGAAGAACAAAGTTCTGCCCGAGCAGTTTTTCTTTTTTCCTTTTTGTATTTTCTATTCTTTTTTATTTATGAGAGAGGGAAACAACACACACCACGCTCATCATCGCCCTGGGCACATTACATTATGTAAATAACGAGTTATTTTCGTTCTTGGTAGACGCGGAAACGTGACAGGTCCGTCTGGGACTACGTGTCTTTCGCTATTGTGTAAGGTGTGAAATTGTACATGAAGTTGAATGAGAATAATGTTGATTGTAGAGACGTATGCTATGTAACTTTTCATATATATGTATATATAAATGCAACATTATGTATCTCTATGTATTATACGATATATATGTATGTATTAATGTATGTATGTATGTACAAGGCACAGTTAAACATTGTAGATACGAAGTGATGCATTTAGCAGTCTGTTGCACGTATTCTTTATTTCTTTCCTTTTTTTTTTGTTGTAATTTCTTTGTATATTCGTGTAATAGTCCTTTGAATGAACGTGTCACATTTCGCTTAAATAAGAAGCGCCACTTTATTACACAGCTATTTTTATTTTCCTTTTCTTCTTTATTTTTTGTTGTTGTCACGTATGTGAAGAAAACACGAATTGAATTACGAAAAAGAAAATTAGCTACAGCATTGGCGCCACTTTGTTGGTATGAAATTTGTTAGATTGTAATTTGGTTATTGTACGATGCTGCAATAACGTTGATTTTGTTTGATTTTTAATTATTGGGTTGGCAAATAAGGCCCCCCGGGGACCTGTAGATTTTTTATTAAAGTAATCATGCTCACTCTTAGTTGCAAACCCAATATTTTTTTGACTGTTCTAATAATTATTAAATCCACAATTGTCGTGAATATATAATATATGTAGAATTCGTATATCGTTGTAATAAAAAGAAAATTTCAAATTTTTTAATTGAATAAATAAAATTAAACTTTTGCTTATATACGAGAGAATCAATAACAAAGTATACAATTACTATTTTTTTAATTCGATATTATTTTACGCAATGATAGCAAACAGGAAACCGAGAAGGTCGTTTCAAGGATCACTCTCGTGTTGCATTCTTTTTTTTTTTTAAATACAGTGCTACGAATTTCAATCGAGCGATTTTTAAAACACACACCTTTCCTTTCGAGCTCGAGAAAGGAAGTTCTGGAATTCGACTACTTCGATGCAATGTCTTGCACGTGATTCTTATTTTCGAATACTAAACAAAATAAAAAGGAAAAAGAAAAAAAAGAAAAAGGAAAAAAAATTAAAAGTCGGTTCTTTTTGTCGAAAGGGAATCTCTCGTGCGGATAATTACGTTTTCGTGAGTTTCTTTCGTGTGAATATAAACGAATAAGAGGTGTCTGCAAGAAGTATTATAGTAACACGAGATTCATCGAAAAATGTGATTTTATATTTTTATTAAATTTATTATCCTTTTTTTTCTCTGCCTGTCTGTCTCTCTCTCTCTCTCTCTCTCTCTCTCTCTCTCTCTCAAAAATTTATGACGACTTGAACGATCTCTCAATTGGTTAACTGGTTATAATAATTTTTATACACTAATCATAATGAGCGATCATTTAACTGATCATTTGAACTATTTGTCCAACCAACCATTAAACCCAAATACATACATATATATACACACACATATATATATATATATATATATATATATATAGAAGGAACAAAAATAAATGGAAATAATTTAGATGATAAAATTAGATATAACATAAATCATATTTTGTAATTTAATTTAATTTTCTAACCGTCGTTCTCACACCTCGGTTTAAAATTTGATGAAAGTTGATAAAAAAGAAAAAAAGAAAGAAAGAAAGAAAGAAAGGAAGAAAGATGAAATGAGATATGTGTTGTAAATGTCATATTATAGGCGAAAATTGAAAGGAATTCGGGTTAGATGCGAGCTTAATTAGCGAAAGCGAACGACTAAGTCGCAAGTCTCTCAGTTTAATTAATAAAACTAGTTTTCTCATGGAATGCAATATATATATATATGTGTGTCTGCGAGAGAGAGAGAAAGAGAGAAATGACTCACGATTGTAAGAAGCTCGATTAAATGTTCTCGACAAATTTCTTGTATCGCGATTAAAACAAAAATTCGCATTACTTTCGTAAAAAAAAATAAATTTATTTCTTTTTAAAACTTTTAATAAAGAACAAAAGTAAACAAAAACAAATTCGATCGTCATAGAAAATCATTAAATTTGCAAATTATTATTTCGTATAATTAATTTGCCAAAAATAAAACTAATAATTAATTAACGTTGCAACGAATTATAATACTTATGAAATAAAAAAAAGAAAAGAGGAGATACATATAATAATAATATTATAATAATTATAAAATATATTAAATTGTGGTAATATTTTTGAATAAATGAATTATCAATGGAAGGAAAGAAAAAAAAATGTCTAGACATATTTTTTACTTCCACTTTTAAAAGGATAAACACATTTTACATATCGTGTAATCTTTACGAACAAGGTTGATCGTGACTTTGAGAATTCACGGCCACACCACGTAGTCATCGATGTGATAACAAATACTCCTCTACTACTACGACGTTATATCTACGTTGAATGAGAGAGAAAGAGAAAGAGATAGAGATGTAAGGTGAGGCTTGAAAAGTACATTTCATCTTGAAAATAAAGAACGGAGAAGCCATAAGAAGACAGGTGGCGTGCTTATGAGAGAAAGAGAACCTTCTAAACCGGCTGGTTGCACACCTGCCATTTAAATTTGTCAGATAAGAATATGGTTTTTATTTTTACGCTACTTTTTTTTTTCTCTCAAAGCCGAGGGTTGTGAACCACAAAAAATGTGTTCTCCATAAATTCTAATTTTGGATCTACATAATTATCTAAATGAAATGATAAAAAAAGAAGTCCAAATATAAATGAGATAAAAATAATATTTTCGATTGTATTACAAAAATAAACAAAAAAATATTTAAACCTTTTCACACGAGGTGAAAAAGACTTTAAGAAGAGTTAATACAATTCTAAAATATACATACTAATTTAAATGAATTAAAATGCAAACATTGAAGAAGCCAGAAAAAAGTAAAGCCATATTTGTGAATTGTATTATAAAATAATTTTTAAACTCTTTAAAAATGTTTTAATATGTTTTTATTCCTGGGAGGTAAAAAAAGTTTATATGTAAGATTAAAATATTATGATATACGTCCGACATCACAATTTGTATTTTACTAAGGTAATTATTTTGTTTTTATTTCTTTTCTAAGTCCGTCTCGTTGACGTTTCTCTTTATTCTTTAAGAAGAATTTTAGCAAGTTAACCTCGTAAAAAAAAGTAGGTAAAGTAATAATAATCATGGGAAAACTAGTGTAGAAAGGGGAGGAAAGATTTATGCTCCCGTGACAGTTAGATGTGCCTCTTTAACAAACGTGTACGCGTGGAGAAACGATTACGGTTAGTCGTAAAAACGAGTTACCGGTAGGTTTGCGATCTTCCCCCTCTTTCCCCCTACCCTTCCGTTCTGTTCTTTCTTGACCTGTCTACTGGGTTATGTCGTTCTTTAAGTCACCAACGGTATATGTTTATTTTTCTTTCTATTTTTCCATTACTTGAAATTTCGACGAATTATTTTATTTTTCAAATTATCATATAGTAATTTATTATTATTATTATT